CTGAATCCCCAGCCCCTCTTAATTCCCTTTTAATTTAAGAGTTGCCTGCTGGCTCCTTTTTGCTTCTACATGACATTTATTTGTTGAGAGGCAAGTGGAATTGGATGAAATGAGCGTGTGTCCTGTTGGAATGAGAAAATGGGGAAAGGCACGGCCCTGAGGAGCAGCAGAAGGCCTGGACCTGCCTGTGAGGCATCGATGGGGGTATATGTCCTTGCAAGCTCTGAAGAAGTCTACCAAGCCAGAGTCTGGCCTGGGAATACCGCCGAACCGGGGGGCCTGCCTGCGTCCAGGGACAAGCTTTTTCCCCCCCTGCAGTCTTCCACGGAGCTGCACTCCCAGACCCAAACCAGCTGTTAAATCAGCTCTTCTTCTGGGCCTTACTTTCTTCCTATGAGATACATGGAAGATGGTTTTTATTATATGCTTTTCGGAGGCATTCAAACAGCAGGCTTCTAAAGGAGCTCGTTCAGTTACAATCATGGTGCATTTGTGCTGTGTGCCAGGGCTACCCAGGCAAAGCAGGTGTGGTCCTTCCCTTCTGTGGCATATGTTACAGTAGTGAGAATAAAGAATTTATACCCGACTCGGTGTTTGGGGCTTGTTGTCCCAGCACTTGAGAGGCTGAGAGGATCAGTTGAGCCCATGAGTCTAAGACCAACCTGGGCAGCATCAGAACCTGTCTCAAAAAAAGAAGAAAGGTAAATGTTCAACAAATGGGGAGAAAGAAGAGAAACACGTGAGCAGAAAAATGGGTAGAAAATGCTAGATATAAGCCCTGTTGGCCAGGTGTGGTGATACACGCCTGTAATCCCAGCACTTGGGAGGCTGAGGCAGGAGGATTGCCAGAAGTTCGAAGCCAGCCTGGGCTACATAGTAAGTTCAAGGGCAGCCTGAACTCTACAGCAAGGCCCTGTCCCAAAAAGCCAATAAATAAGTAAGCAATGTATGGTGGCCCACACTTGTAATCCTAGCACTCGGGAAGCTGAGGCAGGCAGATCGCTGTGAGTTTGAGGCCAGTCTTGACTACCTAGTGAGTTCAAGATGAGACTAACTATATGGTGAGATACTGTCTGGAAAAAATAAAACGACATATATTTAAGATTATAGTTTCAAATTTTACCTGGCTGGGACAAAGGATTGTGCTGAGGAATAAATAGGCGAGTGATGGGCTCAGTATTTCACGTTTTTTAATTTGTACTGTTCTCAGCTATAAAATGTTATCCCCATTTTGTAGATGAGGAAATCGGATCTTAGACTGAGTAATTTGCCTAAGGTCCCCCAGCAAATAAAGTGGCACAACAAGAATTTAAAGCCAGTCTTTTTGCTGTCATTGTAGTACTGGAGATTGAACCCAGGGCCTTCACACTGAATCACATCCCGGCCCTTTTATTTATCTTGAGATGGGGCCTCACTAAGTCACTAGGTTGGTCATGCTGGGCTCAGTCCTGCCTGAGCCTCCCAGAGGGCGGATGCAGAGGTGTGCGTCCCTACGCCTGGCTAAGTCCAGTTCAGCTTGCACGCATTGTTTTTCATACCCTGATGAGCATTACATTCGACCCAAATAATCCCCCTTGTCCTATATCTGTGGATGCATTCCTGATTCGTGTCCTTTTCTGCAGGAAATGCACAGGCTGCTGACATGGTCCAGCTGCCTGGTGGGCGGTTCCTGATGGGGACAGATGCTCCAGATGCCAGAGATGGTGAAGGGCCTGTCCGGGAGGTAACAGTAAAACCCTTTGCCATCGACGTATTTCCTGTCACCAATAAAGACTTCAGGTACATCAGGCGTTTTTCAGGGGATGTCAAGGCTCTTTCTAACCTTCATTCCTGATGTCGAAAAGGAAACTAGCTTGTTCACTGCCATTTCTCATCTTAGGAGCGACACTGTGAGAGGTGTCATCTCCATCTTTCAGATGAAGAATCTGAAGCCCAGAGAGGTTTGACTTGACCCCTTCAGCACAGGAGCTGGGCCTGGAACTCAAATCCTTGATTCATTTGATTTTATTATTATTTATGTATTTATTTATTGATTGTGCTGGGAACAGAACCCACAGCCAGCTGGGTATGGTGGGGCAGACCTGTAATCCCAGCACTCGGGAGGCTGAGGCAGGAGGATCGTTGTGAGTTCAAGTGAGCTCAAGGTCAGCCTGAACTGCACAGCGAGACCCTGTCTCACTGAGCTACATCCTGGCCCTTTTTCTTTTTTCTTTTTTTTCTTAATTTTGAGACGGGGTCACTGTAGAGTCAGGCTTGGCTGGGCTAAGTTGCCAGGCTGGACTCGAAGTCGTGCTCTGGCTGCCTTCCCTCCCCAGAGTACTGGGATTATAGGCGAATCCCTTCACTCTGACACCGGTGCGTTAACCCCAACCCTGGCTGCATCACTGAGAACAGGAGCAGAAACCAAACACCCAACAGAAACCTGTTTTTGCGGGGAGGAAGGTAGGATTGGGAAAAGGATCATACCGGTGGGTATGGTGGCACAGACCTGTAATCCCAGCACTTGGGAGGCTGAGGCAGGAGGATCACATTGAGTTTGAGGCCAGGCTGGGCTACACAATGAGTTCAAGGCCAGCCTGAACTACATAGCAGGACTCTGCCTCAAAAATCCAAACTTTAGGGCCAGGGATATAGCTCAGTGGCATAAGCGCCTGCCTGGCAAGAGCAAGGTCCTGAGTTCGATTCCTGGTACCAAGAAAAAAAGGTCACTTCCATCCAGGCCGGAACCCAAGATGGCGGCGCTCTTGTTGGGACATGCCGGCCATCACTGCCTCCGTGCCCACCTTAGTCCTCACTTCTGCATCCGAAATGCTGTGCCTTTGGGAACCACAGCCAAAGAAGAGATGGAGCGGTTTGGGAATAAGAACCCAGGTTCAAACCGTCCTGCATCTCCCCACGTCACTGTCTGCAGTTGGTTGCTCTCTTCCTGTGGTGATGCCCGTTTGCCATCGTGGCTCTGGTATGGCCTTGCGTGGGGGGTCTCTGTGTTTGGTGTGTCAGCCCTGTTGCTCCCTGGGAACTTTGAGTCTTACTTAGAGTTTTTGAAGTCTTTGTGTCTGGGGCCTTCACTGATCTGCACAGCGAAGTTTGCGCTCGGCTTCCCACTCATGTATCACACCTGGAGTGGGATCCGTCCCTTGATGTGGCACCTGGGAAAAGGCCCGAAGACTGCCCAGCTCTGCCAATCCGGGGTGGCCATCTTGGCCATTACAGTGTTGTCCTCTGCGGGGCCGGCAGCCGTGTGAAGAGCTGACATTCCCAGCAGCATCTTCCTACAAATTAATTGTCACAAATTGCTTTACCTTCCTGCTCGTCTCTCTTACCTCCAGCCAACAAAGTTACCTGATGTGTCTGGATCCTTCGTGTTTGCAGATCCCCCTCAGCTCGGTAGACTGGCTTGTAAAACCACAATAATAGAAAGGGTCCAGGGGCTGGGGATTTAGCTCAGCGGCAAAGCGCCTGCCTGGCAAGCGCAAGGTCGTGAGTTCGGTTCCTGGTACCAGAGAAAAACCAAAAAAAAACCAAAACAACAAAAAAAAGAAAGGGTCCAGTATTCCTTTGTTTCTCACGATGGAATGGCTATAAAAATGCCCTTTTCTTACCAACAGTTTGCGGCCGACTCTGGGCCTAGAAGCCCTTGTTCTCTCTCCACATTGGGCTTTGATTTGTGCTGAGGGTCAGATTTTGGCTCCTTCTTCCTGAGACAGCGGAAACAGTGCCAGCTCTGTGGCTTGTGCCGTGGGTGCTGGGGGTGAGGCTGTGGGTGCCACTGCCTATGGGTCGCTGGCTTAAGGGACAGTTCTGTTCACTGGTCAGAGCTCAGGGTCTTCAGCACCCACACAGAGTGACTGAAAGAAGGGAGGTGGGAATGGGAGGGAATTGTCCTGGCCAGGCTGGAGAGAGATAAAAAGGATGGGTTGGTTCTTGGAGCAGGTGCCCTAGGAGACGTGGCTTTTGATGGAAGAGGAAGATCCAGAAAATTATGATTAACTATTTTAAGGTGTTTTTGTCTCCAGTTGATTTTTGTTTTGTTTTGTTTTTGCATTTATGGGGAAAAAACTCTTCTAATGTCATGTTTTCTAATCCAAGTTCATGTACCATCTTTTCTGAAACAATTAAAATACTCATTTTATCTAAAAAAAATCCAAACTTTAAAAAGAATCCAAAATAATAATAAAATGAAACTGAAGGCTGGGCATGGTTGTGCACACCTGTAATCCCAGCACTCGGGAGGCTGAGGCAGGAGGATCATTGCCAAGTTCGAGACCAGCCTGGGCTACAAAGTGAGCTCAAAGCCAGCCTGAACTGCATAGCGAGACCCTGCCTCAAACACACACACACCAAAAAACCCCTGAATAAATAACTTCTGATCTCATTGGTACCCTATCATGACAACCAGAAATAGATGAACAATATGCATTCATTTGTTTCTTTTTTTTTTTTTTTTCTGGTACTGGGAATCAAACTCATGACCTTGCAGGTGCTGTGATGCTTTTGCGCTCAAACTCATGACCTTTGCCAGGCAGGTGCTGTGCTGCTGAGCTAAATCCCCAGCCCCAATATGCATTCTTTTATATTTGAAATTATGAGCTATTATATCATGGAAATAGGATATCACCTCTAACAAGTCCCTAAATTTTGTCTACTACTCCATAATTTATCTCTGCTGCTCTGATAAGAGACTCATAAACCATTCATTCATGTGCTCAGGCCTGGTAAGTAGTATTGCTACAGAATTTCCCAATCACTAACTTCATTTTTCAAAGCCTCTTTTTTTTTTTTGGTTGTTTGGTTTTTCTCTGGTACCGGGGACCAAACTCACGACCTAGTGCTTGCCAGGCAGGCGCTTTGCCGCTGAGCTAAATCCCCAGCCCCTTCAAAGCCTCTTTGACAGGTAAACAATATCTTCTTATGTCTTCTTATATCTTGAGTACTGTTAATTCAAGGAAAGCAATTCATTTTACCCCCACAGTCTGCTTGCTGAAATATACTAGGCCTGGAAGGCTGAGGCAGGAAGATCACAACTTTGAGCCTAGCCAGGGCAATTGAGTGACTTAGTGAGACATTGTCTCAAAAATAATAAAATAAAATAGGGCTGAGGATATAGCTCAGTGTGAAGGCCCTGGGTTTAATCTCTAGTACTGGAAAAAAGAAAAAAAGGACTAACCCACACCAAACTGCAGGAAAAATCTGTCCTGAAGTCTAGGTATGTTATTTTGGACTCAGTGCCTTTCATGTGTGCTGTCTGGTGAGTAGATAAGTGAGGGTGACTTCAGAAAAGAGGCCTGTTCCCCCTTGAGCCTCCTGCCGAGTGCTTTTATTCATCTAAAAACCAGAGGCGTTGAAGGATGCCCTTCAGCTGGTGAAGCCTGAAGTAAATACGCTGTATTCCTCAGCAGAGAGGAGCGGGTGACTGACGCTGAAGCAGCACGGATGCATCTCTGAAGCACTTTGCCAAGTGACAGAAGCCAGACCCCAAAGAGACCCCAAAGACTACATGTTACAGGGCTCACTTTCTGCAACATTCTGGGGAAGGCAAAGCCGTGGAGCAAAAAAGCAGATCCATAGCTGCAGGGCCACTGGAGAAATTCTGGCGGGGGTTGGTGGGACTGTTCTATATCTGTGTGTGTGTGCGCGCATGTGCACACGCGCGTGGGATGGGACCCAGGCCTCGAACATGCTAGGCAAGCGCCAGAAATACCGCTGAGCTACGCCCCCAGTGGCAGCTTGATGATGGTAGTGACTGACACTTGGTCAACACCCACAGGGCTGTATGCGAAAGTTAGTTTTACTATAATTGTAAAGGAACTGCTTGGGCTTTTAGGTTAGTCCCTTGGCCTCTTGGAAACTCTGTTGTGGGTTTCTCATGGGACGTGGGAATGCGAGGTTCTCAGAGCAGGAGAGGGATTATCGGGAGCTGGCCAGTCTCCCAGTCTCCCGGGCAAGTGTATCGCAAAGGATAAAAGACAAAACGTCAAAGTGATACAGTACTCAGGTGTCTGGGTAGGTAGGAGCTCTTGTGGCTAAGACCCCGACTTCTCTGAATTGGCAACTATTTATTTGGGTTTGTATCAGGGAGTGTATGCAGAAGTGTCGGGAACAGCTGAGGCAAAAGGTACAATAGTGAATAAGCCCTCTTGAAAATGGATCAGAGACTTTCCAAGCATTAAATCTTTGCTTAATAAGAGCCATTTTTATCTCCAGGGTTGTCAGTTGTTGCCTTGGAACTCTGAGTGAGATTCGGTGCCCCCAGCTGCGGGGTTATCTTGCCTTCAGGCCACTGCAGGTCTCTGCCGTGACTACTGACATGGAGACTTCTGTTTCTGCATGCCAGCTGCTGGCTCAGCAGGCGGGTCCCTTAGGCCTGGGACAGACTCATATATTATTATTTTTTATTTTATTTTATTTTGGTCTTTTTTTGAGACAGGGTCTCGCTATGCAGTTCAGGCTGGGCTTGAGCTCACTTTGTAGCCCAGGCGGGTCTCGAACTCACAACAATCGTCCTGCCTCAGCCTCCCCAGTGCTGGGATTACAAGTGTGCGCCACCACGCCCGGCAGAACTCATATATTAATATAGAAAGCCAATTGATTCATTCCAAAGCCTGCTCAGCACCGCCTCAGAGTGGTCTCTGTGAACGGATGGGGCACTGAACCCCTCCGCGGAGACGGGGAAATCTCTCTTTCCAGGGAGTTTGTCAGGGAGAAAAAGTACCGGACCGAGGCCGAGCTGTTTGGGTGGAGCTTCGTCTTTGAGGAGTTGGTCCCCAGTGAGCTAAGAAACACAGCGGCCCAGCAGATGAAGGTGAGGAGACAGATCCTGCCGCTGAGCGGATGGGAGTGGGGACTGATCCACAATCCTGTGCGATCGGGCTCACCCAGGCCAGGCCTGCCCGCGAGCTGGGGGCTGGGAGGAAGCGAGGGAAACAGCGCCGCGGAGGAGCCGGCCAGTGTGCGCGCACGCCAGGGAGCCCGAGCCCGTTCTTGGGCAAGGCGATTGATGAAAGCCCAGAGGGACGCGGAGTTCAGATACTGCCTCCCTGCACCGCCAGAGCACCTGGGGCTCTAAGGAGGGGGCCGGGTGCCCTGGGAAGACCCCCGCGCAGGACCCACCTGGCCACAGCGCCCCGCACCCCGTCCTTTCTGCAGCCCGTCCTCTGGTGGCTTCCCGTGGAGCGGGCGTTCTGGAGGCAGGTGAGTGCGGGCTGCCCACCGACTGTCCCCGGGGTCAGGACAGCGCCCAGCCATCGTCTACCCTCCCCGCCTCCCTGCCGCGCTCCCGCTTCTCCGGGCGTCTCTGCGCCCCCCGCAGGCCCTAGCGATCGCCCTCTCCCGTGTCCCCGCCGCCCGGCAGCCCGCAGGTCCCGGCTCCAGCATCCGGGACCGGCTGGAGCTGCCCGTGCTGCACGTGAGCTGGAACGACGCGCAGGCCTACTGTGTGTGGCGCGGCCGCAGGCTGCCCACCGAGGAGGAGTGGGAGTTCGCCGCCCGGGGCGGCTTGGAGGGTACGGATGCCGGGGCCGTGCCTGACCTCGCTTAGCCTGCCGGCCCCGGAGCCCTAGCAGGGTGGGGAGGGGCCGTTCCTCGGCGCTCCAGGCCGACCCATCCAGGGTGAGGAGTCATTTGTGGTGGCGCCGATGTTCCAGGATGTCCGTACAATCCCATAAAAACTGGAAACCGGAAGAACGGAAAGGAAAGCAGACATACAATATTTTATTGTTGAAGAGATTCCACAGTGTACGTTACATTTCAGTAAATTAATTAAGCAAGGTGTAGTGCTGCACGCCTGTAATCTCAGCCCTTGGGAGGCTGAGGCAGGAGGATCACGAGTTTGAGTCCTGCCTGGACAATTTACGGAGACCCTATCTCACAGTAAAAACTAAGAAGGGCTGGGGATGTAGCTCACTGTCAAGGCCCGGGGTGTGATCCCCAGCGCCGCAGTCTGTCAGTCAATAATAGAACAACGTAGCAAATCAGGAGATCCAGGGTTCCCAGTGCAGCGCCTGGGTGGATGGGTTGGGCGTGGGAAATAAAGGACCCCAGTCTGCGTTTTTGTCACCTCCCAACGTCCTTCTGGTTCCCTCACTCTTTTTTCCTTTCTAACTGTGCCTCTCTCTCCGGTTCCTGCTCTCTGGGCAGGTCAGGTTTACCCGTGGGGAAACAGCTTCCAGCCCAACCGCACCAACCTGTGGCAGGTGAGCGCCCTCTCCTTCCCAGGCGGGCGGAGCCTGCCCTCAGGCAGCCGGGCTGCGGCCCAGCGTGCAGAGCAGCTGCTCCCGCTGGTGACTGAGAGGTTGCCCAGGCCGAACGCATGTGAGGGCGCTGGAGGGACTTCAGGAGGGAGAGGACGTTCGTTCTGGTTAAACAGCCGCCTGTCCCGGTGACGTCAGATAAGAGGCATTCCAGTCAGGCATGGTGGCACACACCTGCAGTCTCAGAGCAATGTCAGGCTGAGGCAGGAGGATCACAAATTCAGGTCCCGCCTAGGCCCAGGCGGCTTAGCAAGTGAGCAAGAGCCTGCCTCAGAATTAAAAAAAGAAAAAATCTAAGAAGGCGCTGGGATGCAGCTCAGTGCAAAGTCTTCCATTCCGCTGTCAGTAGGGAAGGAATCAGAAGGCCTCCCAACATAGGCAATGAACACAGTGCCCAGCTTTGAGTTCTGTTGTGCCACCCGAAGTGTTTTGCTTTCTCTGTTGAGGTTCTAGTGTTGGAACCTGGGTTCCAAAGCTTGCTGGACAAGCGCTGTACCGCTGAGCCACATTCCCAGCCCGGTCCGAGGTTTTATAACTCAAGTGACATTGTGATTTAAGGGAGAAATGTTTGCTGCTTGTTGCTGATTTGCGCAGGATGAGGTCAGACTGCACTGCGGACAGGAAGTCTTTTAATCTGAGGCTGTGGCAGAGACCCAGCTTCTTGACCCACTCTTAAATTATGTGAAAATAGAAATCAAGGGGAAGACAGCCTGGTGGTCGTGGTGTGCATACTTGTAATCCCAGCACTCAGGAGGCTGAGGCAGGGAGATCGTGAGTTTGAGGCCAGCCTGAGATACACAGTGAAACCCAGTCTCAGAAAAACCAGGGTGGTGGTGTAGAAAGCCAAACAGAAGAAGTGGATCTACGAGGGTGGATGAGGCGTAGTAATTCATCAGCGTGGAAGGGTTAGATTCAAGCACGCATCCAGGCCTGGTCGCGTGGTGATGGTGCTCCCATTACTCACATAAGACGATCTGCACATAGTGGTCCAAGGGACAGAACTGGGTATTTCAGGGTCATCTCAGTTTAGGGTATCTTTGGGGCATGGTTATGCTCAGGAGGGCTGGGGCAGGGCACAGCAGCGGAGCATTTGTCCAGCTCACATGAGGCCCCAGGCTGGACCTATAGCAGCACTAAAAAGTTGAAAACCAGAATCTGAAGCTTAGAGCAGCATTCAAGGTTGGAGCAGGTGGTTTCAGAGTGTATTTATCTGTCTTCTGTTGCTGTGACAAAGTACTGGATACAGGTATCTGTATGCTAGGTATCTTATAAAGAAAGCAGGTTCACTCAGCTCACAGTTTTGCGTGCTAAAAGCCCTGTATCCTGCACACCCATGTGTTTGGCCTCTGGCAAGTCACAAGTCACCCCACCTCCAGCCCCATCACAACAGGGAAAAGTGGAAGGGGTCAAACACATAGGACGACCTCACTTTATAACAACCCACTCACTCTCACAGGAACTAAACCCAAACCCCAGCAATAATCTATTCCTAAGGGGATGGTGCAGTAACCTAATTACCTCCCTTTAAAGGTCCCACTTTTTTTTTTTTTTTTTAATTTTTTTGAGACAGGGTCTCACTATATAGTTCAAGCTGGCCTTGAACTCATGCAGATCTTCCTGCCTCAGCCTCCTGAGTGCTAGGTTTATAGGCATATATTGAAGCACAGTGTTGTTTTCTTTTGAGACATGGTCTCGTTATGTAGTTCAGCCTGGGTTTGAACTATGTAGCCCACACTGGCCTTGCACTCGGAAGTGCTGGGATTAGAGGCATGAGGCACAACGACCAGCTTGAAGCTCAGTTTTAATGCGGGGGTGGTGGGGGATGAGCAAGTTGAACAAATGGTATCAGCAGGTGGAGGTCACATTTTAAAGAATTTTGCTGGTGAAGAGCAGGCGGGAGGGAAGGTCGAGTCAGGGCAGATGAGAAGGGTTAGGAGTGTTGGCTGCAGAAGGGAGAGACATAAGAGACAGCCAGGGGTGATCCCGAGAAGGCCGGGGAGTGGCTCTGATCACCATGGAGAAGCCTCTCTTCTCAGAGCGCCGTGGCCGCAGGCTGTGAGCAGGAGGGGGGGAAGTTGCCGAGGGTGGGCAGAGCAGGTGCAAGGTGGACCCAACACGCTGGGCCCCATGGGAACTTGGTCTTCCCAGTCCAGCGGGCGGTCCCTGTAGGGTGTGGCAAGCGCTTGGACAGGAACCCCAGGTCCCGCCTGCGCCCTGCCCGGTGACACAGTAGAGCAAGAGAGTGAGGCTTCCTTCCAGGTAGCGGGATCCTGCCTCGGGACAGGCTGATCGTCCTTTGGCTGTCATTTCTGCCATCAGGGGAAGTTCCCCAAGGGCGACAGAGCTGAGGACGGCTTTCACGGAGTGTCCCCGGTGAACGCCTTTCCCCCGCAGAACGACTACGGTAAGGCTTCCTGCAGGTCGCTGTTGGTGCTGCTCGAGGGTTGCTTGGTGGGATGGACCCCTATGCCTGATGGGGGAGGCAGAGGAAAGCACCCCCGGCCCCCCATTTTCCCAACAGGGCTCTATGACCTTGTGGGCAACGTGTGGGAGTGGACTGCATCGCCCTACCAGCCCGCTAAGCAGGACATGCGTGTCCTCCGGGGCGCATCCTGGATCGACACGGCTGATGGCTCTGCCAATCACCGGGCCCGGGTCACCACCAGGTGAGGGGCTCGGTCCGAGGGACCCCAGCTCAGGAGCAGGGTAGGTGCTGCTGCTGCACCCACTTCCACGGGAGTCGTAGGCAGGGGACAGAGCAAGCAGCGTGGCCACAGAAAGCAAGAGGGACCAGGACAGCTGGGGACCTTGTCCTGCCAGCTCTCGCACCCAGGGACATCGGGTCCCCTCTCGTCCTCACAGCCCGGGGATGGGAAGTGGAGTGCCCAAGCGGTGGGTCAGCGCCCGTGGTCATGGGACCGCTGACTTGTCACACTGGGGCACAAAACATGCTCCCTAATCACTCTGCTTTATAATGGAGTGCGGAGGGGCTGGGAGCTCCTGGCTGGTGGCCGCGCCTGACGGGCAGTGTCGCGGCTCCCAGGGCCCCATCAGGGCCTCTGCTTCACCCCATGGGCCTGACAAGGCTGCTCCCTCCCCGACCCCGGTTCCTGAGGAGCCTCAGAAGTTTCCTTCCCCTTCCCCTTCTGGTCAGAGGGTGGAGAAACCTGGGTTTGTCCCCATCTGCAAACCTGGGTTTGTCACTGATTGTTTTTGGGGTACAGCAGGCGTGGCCTGAGGCAGAACATTTCCACCTGCCCCGGGTCTGACCCTTGCCTACAAAGCGGTGAGACCCTACCCTCCCGAGCAGCCTGCAGGCGAGGTGGCAGTGGGAACATCTGTGAGATCCCTTTCCGAAGGCGAGCCTGTCCCATTTCTGACCTCCACATGTGTGGGCTCAGCTGTTTGAAGCTGCTGACCAGCGCCCTCCCTCTTCCTGCTGTGTCCTGGTCTCCTCCCCAGAAGCTGCGCTGCTCAGCTGCTCCACACCTGACCTCCTGTGGGGCTGTGTCCTCGTCTCAGGCACCCGACCTCTGGGCCCTGGCGGGGTGCGGCCAGGAGCCTGGAAAGGCTCAGCCCCTTGCTAGTTCAGCAAGCACCCAATCTCTCTCCCCTTCCTTGGCAGGATGGGAAACACTCCTGATTCAGCCTCGGACAACCTGGGCTTCCGCTGTGCAGCCAGTGCGGGCCGGGCCCCCGGAGAGCTGTGAGCTGGCGCCCTGTCACTCCGTGGGTATCCCCAGCGCACCCACATTCTTCATCCCCTGGCCACTCCCACCAGACAGGAGGGCCTCCCCTGGGGCGGGTGCTGCGTGCAGAGCAGGCCGCGGTCCGCCTCCTGAGCGTGGGGGCTACGCGTGCGCAGCTCCACACCCAGCTTCCTGGCAAATTCTTGTAGGGAGAAAGAAGGTGCGTCCCTCATTTGCCCCTGTGCGGGGTCCCCTGCACGGTCAGGAACCGGTTTCAGCCTTCAGGGGTCTGGAAGGACCAAGTCACGCACCCAGTAAACAGTACTCCTGAAAGAAATAGCGAAGCTTCCCCCGGCTGTTCATGGTGCAGGCTCTCGGGCCTCCGGCCGTGCCCTGGACGCAGGTCGCTAAAGCCTCCTGCAGCCGTGGCCGATCTTCCCCTGGCGCTGTCCTCGCCCGGGACCTAGGGCTGGCGGACGGGCGGTGGGGACGGGGGCCCCGGGCCTCCCTCCCTCTCCCCAGACCTGCCTGCCCTCAGAAGTCCTCCTCCTCCGCCAGCGACAGCAGCACGGCCTTGGGCGTGTTCTCGAACAGCGCGGCCCGGTTCTGCTGCTGCCCCTTCTTCACCCAGTGCCCGTAGATGCGGAAGGCGTAGGCGTCGATGAGGCGGCGCAGGGGCCGCAGCGCGTAGGGGTCTCGGATGACGATCTCCCGCGTCACCGGCTTCACGCGGCGGTACTGGTAGTAGATCCGCACGGAGGCCAGCACGGTCAGCGCGATGACCTGGGGGCGGGACAGGACCCGGGCTTGCTCAGCGTGGGCGCCGGGCGGCTGCGGGGCCCTTGGCCAGCGGGATTGCGTGGTCCAGGGGGAGCCACAGGGCGGCCTCTGCCTTCCCTGCCGGCCCAGCGGAGCCGGAAGCCGGCGCGGAGTGGGGAGCCCCGGCCTCCCGGGGTGGGCCTCGCACCTTGAACTTCCCGGCGGGGCTGAAGTGCCGCACCTCCTCCACCACGTACTGCTGGAAGAAGGGGTGCGCCAGGGCCTCCTCCGCCGTGCAGCGGCTCTCGGGGCGCACCACCAGGAAGCGAGAGATCTGGGGGACGGGGGCGCTGAGCACAGAGGGCTGCGACTGCTAGCCCTTCGGGAGACGGGCACCGGCCCTCCCGCCCCGGGGCCGGCCCTGCGCGAGCCTCACCAGGTCCTTCACCGTGTCCGAGTGATCGTCCCACTCCGGGGAGCCGAACTGGTAGCTGCCGCTCATGATCATCCGCAGCATGAGCATCTGCTTGCGGTGCCAGAAGGGCGGCGAGCCGGCCAGCAGGGTGTACATGATCACTCCCGTGCTCCACCTGCGGGCGGCCTCCGTCACCCGCCGGCCCGGCGGGGAGCGCGGGCGGCCCGGGCCCCTGCCCGCACTCACATGTCCACCTCCTTCCCGTAGCCCGGGTGGTCGTCGTTCATGGAGCACTCGATGATTTCCGGCGCCAGGTAGCTGGGGGTCCCACAGACCTCTGCGGAGGGCTACTGTCAGGGCTCAGCGGGGCCACTGCGGTGGGCCAGCAGTGGGGCTGGGGTCTCCTGGCACCGCGGACTGGCACCAGGGTGGGGGTCACGGGCTCCCGGGGCCACCCGTAACCATCCTGGCCTGGACAGTGGCAAGTGCCTCCGCTCAGCCCTGGAAAGAGGACTTCACTGGAGCCCGTGATGGGAGAGTGCGGCTGGTTCTGAGGGGAAGGGGGGACCCCAGCAGTGTGTGCTCCTGGGGACACGAGGAGGGAGGCCCTAGGCCCTGCCACGGCCTCACTGGCGGTACTGCACCTCGCAGCTTCTCTCCCGGCTCCAGCTGACAGGAGAAGCCGAAGTCCGTGAGCTTGATGTTCATGTCGTCGTCCAGGAGGATGTTCTCGGGCTTCAGGTCCCGGTGCACGATGTTGAGCTTGTGCAGGCTGCTGATCACCTCCAGCAGGGCCCTCATAATTTTTCTGAGGCCGGGCACACACACACACACACGTGACTCTTTCTCCAGGGAGCGTAAGGATGGGGGTCCTGGGGCACTGGGGATCCAACCCAGGGCCTGGCCGTGCTGAGCAAGCGCTCTGCCACTGAGCTGCTCCCCAGCCCCACTGAGCTTCTTTTTGGTTCTAGAATCAGGTGACACTTGGTTCCATCATCGGAGTGAGTGTCCCCCCACAGGCGCTTCCCTCCGCAGGGTCAGGTGACAGGCAGGACAGACGGAGCCCACCTGCCTGCCGGCCAGGCAGAAGGGAGGGAGGAGGCCCTGAAGGCCCCATGCCACGGCCAGCGGACCCCCGCCCTGTGGCCGTGGGACTCGGGGAGGGGACTGGGAGAGGCAAATGGACGCTACCTGGTTTCCTTCTCGCTCAAGGTGACCTTCTCCGTGAGATAGTCAAAGAGCTCGCCTCTCTTCATCCTGTGGGAGCAGAGGGCCCGACACTGGCTTGGGCTCAAGCCCACGCTCTCCTGAGCCTGGTCCCAGGGAGTGTCTCCCTGCACCATAAGGCCCTACAGGCCGGGCCCAGTGGGAGGTGAGTGGGGAAGTCGACAGGAAGGACTGGGAGAGCCGTGTGGGAGGCTGGAGGGGTGGGGAGAGGGCGGCGGTGGTCCGCATCTGTGCAAGTGACGTCATGGACGGGGACCCGTTAGGGCCCAAATCAGAGCTGGGGTTGCGAGAGGGGCCCCCAGCCACTGGCGCAGGCCCCCAGAACCGATCGGAAGGACCTGGCTGTCTGAGTTTCTGCAGGCAGTGAGTGCTGGGGAAACTGACTCTTACGGTCTTCTTGCTTCTTGGGAGCATCTGGGAAGAGCTCTGTGGCTGAGCGATCTGCTCACTACCCTGGAGGGCTCCAAGGCAGCAGTACAGACAGCTTCCCAGCAGCTCCTCAAAGGTTAAGGACATTTGAGCTGTCCCTGAACATGGTACAGGGTGGCGCAACGGGACAGCTGCGCTGGGGCAGGCTGGGCGGGGGCGTAGGACAGCCTCCTTTGGTTAAATAGGCAAGGGTGGTGTATGCAGCCCCCAGCCCACCACCCCTGTGGGGATGGCAGTGGGACCCTAGGGCAAAGGGGGGGTGGGTGGAGAGGCAGTTAGTGTCCAGCACTGGGGAGAAGCATGCAAACTCTTGGACTCAGGTGAGGTAGGTAGGGGGCCTGTTCGACACCTTATAGAGGTGAGCCTTGCTTTATACAGTAGATGTACAATATTTTAAAAAGGTGACATGTAAATCTAGTTTTCTTTGAAACAAGTTCACCCTATGCAGTCCAGGCTGGCCTTAAACGCACTGTGGAGCCCAGGCTGGCCTCGAACTCGTGGTGCTCCCCCAGCCTCAGCCTCCCGAGTGTTGGGATTGCAGGTGTGCACCACCACACCCAGCATATGACTCCAGTCTTTATATATATATATAATGTAAATAATTTCTTTTCCTTCAGTGCTAGGGATGGAACCTAGGGCCTTGAGTATGCTAGCAGGTGCTCTACCTCTGGCCTATATTCAAAAACTCATTTTTATCATTTTAATCCTTTTTTTTTTTTTCTGTCTTTTTGAGACAGGGTCTCACTGTGCAGTTCAGGCTGGCCTTGAGCTCACTGTGTAGCCCAGGCTGGCCTCAAACTTGCAATGATCCTCTTGCCTGAGCCTCCCAAGTGCTGGGATTACAGGCGTGCACCCCCCTGCCTGGCCAATTTAATCCACTTGAGAGATACTAGAACTCACTATTAGCGTCAGCAACAACCAAGATTTACTAGTAAAGATGGGGACTGTGCAAGAGACAGCAGCGGGTTCCTGCCTTCCTGGAGCTGACAGTTAGTCATATGTGACAGGTTAAATTGCATCTCAGAGCCAGGCAAGGTGACACAAGCCTGTAATCCCAGCCACTTGGGAGGCCATGGCAGGGGGATTACAAATTTGAGGTCAGTCTGGGCAATTGAGCTAGATCCTGTCTCAAAATAAGAAAATAAAAAAGGCTAGAGATATAACCCTGGGTTCAATCCCCAGTACCACCGCCTGTGCGCGCGCACACACACACACACACAAATTGTATCTCATGCTGTACAAACTCAATATAGCTACCTGAATGATTTCCTCATGTAAACCCAGCCTTTAAATTAACTGTTACATATGGAGAAATTGAGGGAGTCCTAAACAGTAGTTCCCTCTCCTGGGAAGTATTTCTAATAGCTGGGCGTGGTGGCACATGCCTATAATCCTAGCACTCAGGAGGCTGAGGCAGGAGGATCAGTGTAAGTTCGAGGCCAGCCTGGGCTACAAAATGAGTCCAAGGTCAGCCTAAACTACACAGTGAGACCCTGCCTCAAACCAAAACAGGAAAAACAAAACTAATACTTAAATGACCCAGCCCCTAAGTGGTGAACCAGGTTTCCAGTCCCAGTAGCTTGAGCCCAGGGGCCGACGGTGCTTTGGGTGTCCTGATCCTACTTGGGGGAGGACTGATCTCCAGACCTTGCTGGGCAGGACCAGAGAGCGTGGTGCTCTGATGGCCCCGGGCCGCGACTGGCTCCAGAGCTGGGTACTTACAGGTCAAACACCAGGAAGAAGAAAGTGTTGGTCTCGTAAGTGTCCTTCAGCTGTACTGAAATGGAAATGGCTCGCTCGTCTCAAGTGGCCAGGGCCGGGCAGGCTGGCAGGGACACAGCACAGGGCGAGCGCTCAAAGGCTGCTGTGGCTGTGGGGGACAGGATGGTGCCCCAGGGGAGCCCACGGGGCGTGGGCCGAGTTGGGAGTCCGCACTCAGGTCCCAGCCCCGCCTGCCGCTTGGCATACAGGACCTGGGGAGCCCCAGCTGCACCCCATGTGCCTGATCCCAGCTGAGCCGGCCGCCACTCACTGACGTTGCTGAGTCCGGAGACCTTGCGCAGGATGTCCACCTCCTTCAGCGTGGCCTCCCGCAGCTCCTGCACCTCCTCAGCGCTGAAGCCGCCCCCGCCGGTGATGTCGATGATCTTCACAGCATACTCCTTGCACGTGGGCTTGTGGATGCAGCGCCTGACCACGCTGCTGACGCCCCTGGCGGGCAGGGATGGGGCGGCTCAGGGCTGGGGCCGAGGTGCCCCGCCTTCACCTCCACTCCCACTCCCTGTGAGCTTCGGGACGCTGGAGTGGAGGGAGGCCCAGAGGGCTGGTCTGCACAGAGCAAGCCCTGTCAAGCCTGGTCTCCGGTCTAGGTTCTTTCTCCTTTGTGTACCAGGATCAAACCCTCTGAACTATATTCCTGACCCCTTTTTTATTTTGAGGGAGCATCTTGCTAAGTTGTCCAGGTGAGACTTGAACTTGTGATGCTCCTGCCTCAGCCTCCCAAAGTGCTGGGATCACCAGTGTCCACCGCTGCACCCAACTCTGGTCTCAGGTCTCTTGATTCCTTCCGGGCACGGAGAAAGAAGTGGTACTCTTCTAGGGCCAGAACTTTCCCTCGGATCCCCGAGCCCTAGCCCTAGCCCAAAGCTAGGGTTGGGTGTGGGAGAGGTCTCTGGTGCCAGGTACCTGTCACCTCCCTGCCCTGGGTTTGGGAGGGCAGGACCCTAACGGAGGATTCTCCAAGGGGGCAGGGCTCAGGAAAAGCAGACGGTGCCCAGCACACAGAACCCGTGAGAACCCAGGCCGGCTTCTTACCTGCCCAGGATCTCCTTGGGCTCATAGTTCTCATAGAAGCCCTGGGCGGAGTAAGAATCTGGCAGGGACTCGTCCCGGGTCATGCTCAGCTCCTGGGGCGGAGACTCCAAGGGGCTCTGTGGGGGAGCAGAAGGAAGCGTTCACCCCTCCCATCCCTTTGCAGTAGAATCTTGCTGTGTAGTTCAGGCTGGCTGCAGACTCCCTGCAATCCTCCTGCCTCAGCTTCCTGAGTGCTGGAATTATAGGTGTGCTCTACCACGCCTGGCTCTCTTGCCTTTTTTTAATCTCCTGACTTAGGACTGGCTTATAGTGAACATTCCAAAGAAATGTCTGTGAACTTAAAAATTTGCGCCCATGCCATGTTGGCAGCCCCTCTGGTCCCAGTGATAACCATTTCCCTTGTGTGGGTTTGCCTCACACTATGCCTGCAGCCTTGGTAAAGAAGCGGGCTGGCTTCTCGGCACTGTGACCTCACAGGACACTGTGGTCCCTTACAGCGCCTCATAGGGGCAGCAGCTGGTCAGCCAGGCCCAAGGCCCAGGCCTGGGGCAGTGGTCAGCCCAAAGGTTAGCTCTGAGAACAGCAGGCTTATCTTGCTTTGAAACTACAGAAGGTAGTTTTGTTTGTTTGCTTTTTTCTCCTGGCACTGGGTGTTGAACCCAGAGCTTTCACACTGAGCTACATCCCTAGTCCTTTTTTATTTATCTGGAGATGCAGCTCTTGCTAGGTAAATGAATTGCCCAGGCTGGGCCTGAACTTGCATTGTCCTGCCTCAGCCTCCCAGAGTGCTGGGGTCACAGAGGACAAGTTGAGTATAGTTTCTTTTGTCTTGCTTTTCTTCTGCCTGCTCTCTGCCATTGTACTGCAATTTCCTCCCATGCCTCTCCATCTCCCCTGCTGTGACGGCCAGTCTTCAAGGCTTCCTGCCAGGACGCTTCCGTTCTCAGCCCACCACTCCACCTGTAACCCGGACGCCCGAGTCCTCGCTCCCGCATCCACAGATGCTGAGCTCCGGCTCCTTCCACCTCACGCCCAGTGTCTAGGGCTGCAGGGCTGGGCGAGTGTTGTCCCAGGCTCCGGAGTCACCGGCCAGTGCCTGTGGTCGCTCCCGAGACCAAGGTTGTCTCTAGGATGTCTCGGCCATCTCCGCCCTGGGCATCCAGACGGGGGCACAGGCGCTGGTCCCTAGGTGAGGCGACATTTGGGCAGCCTGCCCTCTGGTCCAGGGGCCTGCGGCAGGCGCCCCATATCCTACATGACCGTGGCCAGCGAGCCCTGGGGGTCCCGAGTCAGGCCGGTCAGCAGGACAGGGGAGGTTGAGCAGGCCGGCAGTGTCAGGAACGCAGAGGCGCCTGCGGGGACCTCAGACACAGGAGCTAAGGGCTTTGAAGTCCCCTACTGAGAGGCGGGGCAGAGGGAAAACAGGCACCGTTCAGCCCCCACTTCTGCCCGCTCAGGGCACGGGAGGCCGGGCTCTCGGGGCCAGTTTGCTGACAGCCAAGCAGCAGCCCTGGGACTGAGGCTGGCTCTTCTGGAGGCCTGGCGGCCCGCTCCTGGGTGCCTGGTTACTGGGGGAAGGGGTAGAATAACAACAGGCGCCTGTGCCAGTGGCAGGTGCCAGGCTGCACAGGGCGCCTCTGCCTGCCGTCAGCGACCTGCAGAGCTTTGAGCCTGCAGAAAGCTGCCGTTTCTAAGTCCCAAGCTGGGCACCTGTGTGCGTCATGTCCCCAGGTTGAGTAGCACAGACCACGGGGGATGCCACTCTGCACAGGGAACGTAACAGCACTCCCCAGAACCTAGTCAGGAAACACAGCCACGGACACTGACTTTCTGGAGAAAATGCCTCAACAGGTGTCTTGGGTGGATGAAGCCCAGCGTGGTGACGCACACCTGTAATCCCAGCACTCAGGAGGCTGAAGCAGGAGGGTCGCTGTGAGTTTGAGGCCAGTCTGAGCTACAGTGAGTTCAAGGCCAACCTGAACTACACAAGACCCTGTCTTAGTTCCACACTCTCCCAAGAGCATCTGCCTTCAAAAAGGAAAGGGGTCTACCCCTTGCTCCCCACCTGCTGCCTGGCCACTCACCGTTAGGTCCTTGCAGGGCCTCGGATGACAGTGACAAGGATCCCAAAGGCCCTGGGGCTCCTGGGGGAGCAGCAGTGAGGCTGAGGCTGTGTCCCGAGCAGACACTGGTGTCGCAGTAAGAGGATCCTGCTACTCTGCTTTTGGCTTCGCTATTTGATGACGGAGGCTGATGCACCAAAAATAAATCCCAACTGCAAAGTTGGGGCCCTGCCAAGGGCCAGCAGGGAGGGGCCCACGCCCTCCGTCTCAGCAGTGGTGGCCTCTGGTGGAGGGCAAGTGAAGCCCGGGTGGCTGGGACCAGGGACAGGATGGCTAGGATCCCGCCCCTTGGAGTGTCCCTGGCCTCCAGGCCTGGAGGGAGGGAGGGCTGTTTTGTAGGGAACTCAACATGGCACAGTGCACGGCTGTCACCAGGAATCTACCAGGACTCCCCAAGGACTGTATGACTGCCTTACAGAATGCAGACCTTAAGTCAGGAGCCAGGCATGGTGACACACACCTGCAATCTCAGCATTTCGAGAGGCTGAGGCAGGAGGACTGCAAGGTCAAGCCCCATCTAGACAATTTAGTGACTTGCCAGTAATAAGGCCTAACAAGAACAACAACAAAACCCATAAAAATTTACATTGGGGATTATAGAGCATTTAAAAATACTTGTCCAAAGCTGGGCATGGCAGCGCACCCCTGTAATGCCAGCACTGGGCAGGCTGAGGTAGGAAGATTGCCTTCAATTTGAAGCCAGCCTGGGCTACCTAGTGAGATTGTCTCAAAACCAAACAGCACAATAAAATGTGGACAGGAGCTAAGTCCTGTAAGAGACTGAAATTTGAGCTGAGAGATGCAGCTAGGTTTACTTGGGGGGGTGGACAGGCTAAGCATCACGGTGGACCTCTTGCAGAGCACACAAGGCCCAGGTTCATCCCAAGGCCGGAGGGGCAGTGAAGGGCTGCATCTTTCAGAAAAGGAGGCCATGTCACCTACGCAGGTCACCTCAAGAAGAGAAGCTTCTGCACAGCAAGTTTTTGTCTGAATTAAGGGAAGCTGTTGCATCAGGTGACCTGACCCGGGAAACCATGGGTGACAGTTCTGCTACCACGCCTCCCTCGTCCTCCTCATAGGTGAGACTTTTTCCGGTACTGGGGAAGCAAGGCCTGAGCTCTCCATGTGAGGCCCACGCTCTGCCCTGGTCCCCGGCCCCTAACCTGGGCTTTGAAGCAGTTCCCATGCCCACCCAGTTTGTTAACTCAGGCCTGCGGCAGCCGCAGCCCTTCCAAGAGGCAGGTGGGGGCTCTGCGCTCCTGCTGGAGGCCCCAGGGTGGCTGCCGATCTCACCCCCAGACCACAGGTGGAGCCGGGATGTGTGGAGGCGGGATGGGTGCAGGTGACCGCTTCTCCCACAGGGGCCCTGTTAGGGTGTATATCCAGCGTGTGACCTTATACCCCATGAATACTACCAGAGTCCTTGGACAAAATTCACTTTATTCTAATGAACTAATAACATCACAACAGTTGGCTTAAGGAGGCCACACGTGGCCCCAACCTAGCCCATCTGTGTGGCGGGAACACCCTCTTCCGTGGCGTTCTCAAGCGCTGAAGCTACAGGGAGAGGTCGAACTGAACGGTTGTACACTTCTAGTATGAATAACATTTCCGCACTAAAGAGACGTGCTCTGGTGGATGTGGGTCGACGTCCCAGTCCTCCCGTGTGAACTTCCTGCTTAGAGGAGGCCTGCAAACAGAAGCGGTCCGTTAGCAAAGGCAGCCGCAGGTACCCACCGATTTTCTCTGGTGACTACGGATGGCTTCTTTCACCGAGACTTCAACTCCCCCCCACCAACACCACTGGAAAGAGCTGCCCATGCTGCTAGGGAGAGGACAGAGGCAAAAGCAGAGGGGGGCCACCCCGGTACCAGCCACGCCCGCCCCATCGGCGGGACAGGTGCATCGCTCACCGTTCGCCATCCTGCACTGCCTCAGCACTTCGTTGAAACCTTCGCAGAGCTTCACGTCGGGCTGGTTCTGTGCACACTCCAGAAACTGCTTGATCTCAAAGTAGCAGGGGCCCCCGGCCTCCTGCTGCTGCAGCTGGGCTCCCTGAGGCTCCTGAAAAGGGGAGTAGGTTACAGCTGGGCAGAGAGTGGCATCCAGTCTTTGTGGAATGGAAGCAGAATCAGATGCAAATCAGAGACCCAAACTGGGCCGGTGATATAGCTCAGCGGCATAAGTGCGTGCCCAGCAAGCACAAGGTCCTGAGTTCGATTCCCGGTCCCCCACCCCACCCCACCTCCACCAAAAAAAGAATCAAAGACCCAAACTGCAAACGAGGTGAACAGTCACCTTGCATCTCAAGATGCACGGGGCCGGGCAGGCAGCCCAGTGGCAGACCACTTGCCTGGCAAGCGCAGGAGCCTGGGCTTGAGCCCTAGCACCACAAAAGTCAAATAAAATAAATTCAACAGAGCTGGGCACAGCGACATACACCTGTGATCCCAGCTACTTGCAGGCTGAGGCAGGAGGATCACGAGTGCAAGCCCAGCCTGGGCAACTCCCTGAGACCCTGTCTAAAAACAAAACCTTGGGTGAAGCTTCATGGGGGAAATGAGATCATAAGAAAAATGGATGAGTTTCGAGTACACAGAAATACACTGGAGGACATACTTGGGCTCCTTAAGAAAGAGCACTTGCACAAGCAGGAAGGGGGCAGGGTGTGGGTAAGGGGTCCGAGGGTAATGGAAGGTTTTGGCTCGGTATGCTGGTACAAGCCTGTACTCTCAGCACTCTCGGACACTGAGGCAGGAGGATGGCCAAGCTCTAGCCCAGCCCAAGTAATTTAGAGCCCTGTCTCAAAATAAAAACAAGAATGCCTGATGTAGTGTAGTCCCAGCACTAGGAAGCCTGAGGCAGGAGGATGGTTGTGAGTTCGAGACCAGCCCAGGCTGCAAAGTGAGCTCAAGGCCAGCCTGAACTGCATAGCAAGACCCTGTCTCAAAAAGACCAAAAAAAGGGGGCTGGGGATTTAGCTCAGTGGCACAGTGCCTGCCTGCCAAGTGCAAGGTCGTGAGTTCGATTCCCGGTACTGGAAAAAAAAACAAAAAAAAAAACCAAAAAAGAAAAAGAAGGAAAGAAAAGCAGGGTCTGGGGGTGTAGCTCAGTGTCAACCTTGGGTTCAATTGTGATTTTTATTTTCTATGATAAACTTTCCATGATAAATGACTTTCTCTTTTTCAGCCATGCAATAGTGGCACTCACAGGATCACAAAGGAAATCTTCGTTCAGAAGCCCAGGAACTATCTCAGCATAATTCAGACCAAACTCCTGATCTTACCCTCCCAGTGTACTACATCTGCAATCAAATCTCAACTGAAAGAACTCCATCCTTTTGGCTGTACAAAATAAACAAAACACTGGAGGGTTTTTTTTTCTGGTACTGCAGATGAAACCTAGGACCTAGCTCCAGCCAGCATCTTGCTAAGTCACCAAGTTGCCCAGGCCGGACTTGAACTTGCGATTCTCCTGCCTCGGCCTCCCAGAGTGCAAGGATCACAGGCGTGCACCACCACGCCCGGCTTGACATCCTGTTTTCTCTCACAGTACTGTGCATTCACAAGGCCAGTCCTCACACACCAGGAACGTACAAACAACTAAGTTTCCTCATAAAATACAGCACCAAGAGAGCCTTACCTGGTAAGTGATGTCAGGCCTGGCGGGCTCACCACTGCCTCCCCCGCCCAGGCCGCCAGTGATGGCGTGGCCCAGCGTGTGCCCCACGGCGGAGCCCACGGCCACGCCTGCTGCAGTGGTGGCCATCTGGGCCATCAGACCAGGCTGCCGGGGCGCAGCAGCAGGTGAGCCCACAGCGGATGGCGGGGCCACCACTGGGGGCTGGGCCGCTGGGGCTGGTCTGGGCGCTGGCCGGGGCGCAGCCCGCATCTGAGGGGCCCGGCTGCGGAAGAAGAGGAAAGATTATGACGTGCCTGTTCCCAGCTTGTTTTTAAAGTTGTACGCTTAAATAAACCTCAGATTCTTCATATTCACACATACACGCAAGACATTACCAAAAATAATTCAATGAATTACTTACATCATGTTATCTCTTCCGATAAGGTTGTAATGCCTGAGCACCAACTATGTATTTTTTTCAGCAACTATTTCTATGTATCCACATAAACTGAAGTTTGCTTATTTTTTGCCTTTTTGAGACAAGGGTCTCGCTATGCAGTTCAGGCTGGCCTTGAGCTCACTTTGTAGCCCAGGATGGTCTCCAACTTTAAATGATCCTCCTGCCTCAGCCTCCTGAGGTGTGGGATTACAGGGGCATGCCACCCACCACACCTGGCTCACATTAACCATAGTATCTTTAACTACCAGTTATCCCAATACTTCATAAAAAATGTACAGAACATGAATTTACCTAGTCAAATGTTACACAACCACTATGTTCAAGGATACTAGGGAGGCTGAAAAATGTAACCGAGTCCAAACTTTTGGCTTTCATTCAATTCTGAGACAGCAAATAAAAAATGTCAGCCAGACGCAGTGGTGCACACCTGTAATCCCAGCTAGTCGGGAGGCTGAGGGCTGCCAAGGTAAAGGTAACTTAACCGAATAACTTAAGGAGACGGTCTTTCAAAATAGAAAATAAAAGAGCAGCGTGGTGGCACACGCCTCTAATCCCAGCACTTGGGAGGCTAAGGCAAGAGGATCACTGAGAGTTCAAGGCCAGCCTGAACTACATAATGAAACCCTGACTCAAAAAGACAAAAAAAAAAAAAAAAAAGAAAAAAGAAAATAAAGCACGGTAGATGAGTGGTAGGGCACCTGTGGATATAACCCCCAATATCACAGAAACAAAGCAAAAACCCAGGGCCTAGTGTGGTGAAATAACAATTCCAGTTCTGCAAGAGCCCAGGGAAAATCACTCCAGCAAAGGAGCTCAGGGCCAGTGTTATGGTTTGTATCTGGATGTCCCCCAAAGCCTCATGCAATCATGGGGCGGGCTTCTAGAGTTTGTGATCGGTCCACGGTCCAGCGCTGGGATTCTGGGTGTGAGTGCTGCACCCGCCCTGGTAGTTTGCATACAACATGAGGGAGGGAGAGAGGCTGCCTGCCGCCGCTCCTTCCTCTTGCTCTTGCTGCTTGCCTTGGCCACGAACTGTGGCCCTCTGCCATGTGCCACTTTGCCTTGGAGCCAGTCGGGCATGGACTGAAACGTCCACAAACTGAGCTAAATAAACCTTTCCTTCCTTAATAATTTTGGGCGTTGAATATTTTGTCTCTGCAATGAGAGAAAAGTAAACAAGGCAGCCAGCCTGGGCACCATAGCAATCCTGCTACACAAACCCAAACCGGAGACAGTCATCTAGCAAAATAATCCTGTCCAATTCCTTCTTCACTTTACAAACTGGGAAAATGAAGTGTAAAATGGGTATGGTGACAACACCTGTAACCCCAGCACTCAGGGAGGCTGAACCAGGAGGATCATAAATTTCAGCCCAGTCTGTCCTATTACCAGACATTCTCTCATAAATAAATAACCGGGGCTGGAGATATAGCTCAGTGGGTACGGCTCTAGGCTCAATACCCGGTACTGCACCCACCACCACCAACCCCCAAAACCTTGAAGCACAGTCAGTGAAGTGGCTCCTCCCTCCGCCAATCATTTATTTTTGGGAACAGGGTCTTGCCATGTAGTTCGGGCCGGCCTTGAACTCACAGCGATCCTCCTGCCTCAGCCTCCTGAGTGCTGGGCTTACAGGGGTGCACCACCACGCCTGGCTCTGCCACTCATTTCTAGATCGTTCTTTCAACTATATCCGTGTCAAACGGTTACAATTTAACGTGCTAATAAATATCATGGGGCCGTAGCTCTATAAAATGTACCTCCCAGTCGGGAGTGGTGGCGCACGCCCGTCATCCCAGCACTCTGGAGGCTGAGGCAGAAAGGTCGCTGTGAGTTCAGCCTGGGCTACAGAGAGACTCTGTCTCAAGGCCAATCTGAACTACATAGCGGGACCCCGTCTCAAAAAACCAAAATAATAATAATGATAATAATAAGGGTTGGGGATATAGCTCAGTGGCACAGTGCCTGCCTGGCACACGTGAGGTTCAATTCCCTGTACCAAAAATAAAATAAAAAAAAATCCTCCCCCGCATGCCCGGCACAAGGCGAACACAACCCACGCCACCGTGCGCAGCGCTTCGCCCCCACCGCCCTCTGCGTCACAAGCCGGCAGATTCCGGGCGCCCGGCTTCGACCCCAAGCCCCAGCAAGGTCTCACCTGGCCGGAGAGGGCACGCGGGAAGTGCGGCTTCGGCTTCCACGAGGCATCCTCCGGACACCACGGATCAACGTCTAGAAACGCCAAACTCCGCGAACACTCTGGCTCCTTCTGAAGAGGGGAGCGGAAGTAGGGAGGCGGGTCTTGATGAACAACCAATCAGCGTGCAGATAGTCTCCGCAGACCCTGAAGGTCATTGGGAGAGCGAGGCCTCAAGGGCAGCGCCTCACCGTACGAAGTGACGTAATGACCTCGGCGCCTCTGCGCGGTAGAAAACCGGAAGTTCCTGCGTTTCCCTAACAACCCAACCCCCAACACCGTTAACAGTTTGTTTCCTAAGCGAGGAGGTCCGCTGCGTCATCCTGGGCCACACAGTGAGCCAGCCTGAACTACACAGCGAGACCGTCCCAGAAAACCAAAGGAGCAAAAAAGGGACTGTTGCTACTTCCTTCAAATATTTGTATTAACATAGTAGATTGAATGCAACCTTGGAGAGCCGGGCGTGGTGGCGCACTCCTGTAATCCCTGCACTCGGGAGGCTGAGGCAGGAGGATCATCCCGAGTTCGAGACCAGCCTGGGCTACAAAGTGAGCTCAAGGCCAGCCTGAGCTGCATATCGAGACCGTGTCTTAAAAAAAAAAAAAAAAATTGCAACTTTGGGAGTGAGTCACATCTCAGGCCTGATTGCCAGGGACCTTGGCCAAGATACTGTATCTTTCTCAGCATTACTTAAAAAGGCTGGGGATGTAGTCCAGTGCGAAGGCCATGGGTTCAATCTCCAGAAGAATAAAAAAAAATCTTTCTAAGTCACTACATTGCCCCAGGGTGACTCAAATTTGTGATCCGTCTGCCTCAGCCTCCCAGAGTACTGGAATTACAAAGGAGTGCCATCATGCCCAGCTGACAACTATTTTTTTGAGACAGTGTGTATGTATAAAACGAACCGAGTTCGTTTCAGGGCTAACTGTAGGGCTGTACTTGTACAGTCCTTCTCTTGTCTGTGGATACAGTAAGAAAAAAATTCAGAAAATACGAATGCCTTTCACGTATCACACTACACTTTTTTTTTTTTTTTTGGTCTTTTTGAGGCAGGGTCTCACTATATAGTTCATGCTGGTTTTGAACTCACTTTGTAGCCCAGGCTGGCCTCGGACTCGAAATGATCCTCCTGCCTCAGCCTCCCCAGTGCTGGAATTACAAGCATGTGCCAGCACGCCTGGCTCACACTACACATTTTAATCCCTTTTCCTATATATTAAGGAATTTGTGTCCAGCGTTGGGATAAAATCCATACCCTGGTAATCTGACAAAGTTTTGCTGAATAACCTGTAGGTTTTGGAGATACAGCAATTAATAAGATTCTAACATTCATTTAAAGGTTAGAATCGTTTAAATTTCTAAGACAAGAGACAAAGCCCGTATGTGATATCAGGGTGACATCATGAAAGGCCAAGACAGTACAGACAGCTAAGTTAGAAATTAATTGGAAAATAGAAGGGAAAGGGAAAAAAGGAAAAAAGAATAGAAGGAAGAAATGGAAACAAAGCTTTTGTAAATGAGGGGAAGAGGGGTTGAAGGGACAGGAGGGGAAAGGGGAAAAAAGAAGCAAGATACATCACATACAGGCACAAATTCCCTATGATGAATGTGATATGTATATAAAAATGTACCAATAAAATTTTTAAAATGCAAAAGCAATAGGCAGTCAGGGTCTGGGCCCTTGAGGGAATCAGCACAGATGATGAGAACCACTGTGGCCGGAGGCCTCTCCAAACAAAGCCAAGCCTCAAGTTGCAGATGTAATTGCCAGGCCTGGGAACCTCCTTAAGAGATAAGCACATCGGGCATGGTGGTGCACCCCTGTAATCCCAGCACTCGGGAGGCTGAGGCAGGAGGATCCCCATGAATTTGAGGCCAGCCTGGGCTACATGAGCAAGTTCAAGGCCAGGCAGAACTACATAGTGAGACCCTGTGCCAAAAAAAAAAAAAAAAGAAAAGATAAGCAGCAACTTGAAATTATAGTGCAATCAGCACCAGCTGGTCCAGTGACCCCTGATAGGCATCAAATGCATAGGTGGGTGACCAGGACGTCGGGGCCGTGGTCCCATCCCTTCCTGTGTAAGTGGCTATAGATAAGCTAGTGATGCTAGCCATATACCCTTGTTATGGGCCTTGCTTCGCTACTAGATGCTCGTAATCCTATTGGTAGGTTGTAGTTTGACCCATGTTGTGATTTTGCTATATAAAATATTCTTGGAGAAAGATCCTCTGTGGCAACCCGCTTTTGGGACCCTGCACACACCTTGTCTCTCAGGAGTTATCTCTCAATAAACCTTTCCTCTTAACTTCTGTGGTCCTTGCAATTCATTCTTTGCTATTCTGGGGCCATGAACCGATGGAGGGAGGTCAGGAGGGCAGGACTGGAAGAAGGCATATGAATGGGAAGGCCAGCCACAGTTCACAAAGGCAAAGCCAATGCCCGGAAGAGGGAACCTTTGATTGCAAAGACCTGAGGAACCGTGCTTTAGTGATAGTTGGTGTGAGATGGTTTTAAAGGTAACAGAGGTCCAGAGATATAGCTCAGGGGCACAGCGCTTACCTGGCAAGACCAAGGTCCTGACTTTGAATCCCGGTACCAAAAATAAATAATAATGTATGTAACAGAATCTCAATAAGGGAAAAGTTGGCCAGGGTATTTCATGAAGGGCTTTGTGGGAAAGTCTTGGGGGTTAGGTGAGGTTTAAGAAAGAGAACAAAGGTAAAATTTCCTCTTCTGTTGGATGTCAGTCACAAATGCCCCCCTTCTGCCAGAGTAGCAACGGATTTTTGTTTTTTTTGGTTTTTTTTTTGAGACAAGGTCTCACTATATAGTGCAGGCTGGCCTTGAACTCACTATGTAGCCCAGGCCGCTCTGGAACGCACACTGATCCTCCTGCCTCAGCCTCCCAAATGCTGGGATGACAGGTGTGTGCCATCACGCCCCGTTTGTGACCACTTCTTTACACATAAGAAGTATCCAAGTGTTTGTCAGACTGGAACAGAATATTTTGGGGAGAGGGAACGCGGAAGAGCTAAAATGCCATTGGTGCTGTCTTCTTTTAATTAAAACCTTAAGAAGGCATACCCACTGGACGTTACTTAACTAACAGTTGTAAAGCAAAGACTGAAGCAGTAAATTTAGGCGATGTGGAGTAGTTCTGTTGACCAACATGGAGGAGCGCAGTTACAGCTGGAGTCAGCGAAAATACTTTTAACGGGTCCTTTGGGTATCCTGTAGAAAATCAGAAACAAACACCAATTAATCTCTTTAGTCTGAACATGAGCACTGAAGGTAATTCTTAAAGGTGTGGTGGTGGTGGTGGTGGTGGGGGGACTGGGGATTTAGCTCAGCGGAACAGCGCCTGCCCAGCAAGCGCAAGGTCGTGAGTTTGATCCCCGGTACCGGAAAACAAAAACAAAAACAAATAAATAAAGGTGTGTGTGTGTTTTAAGAGTTGTTTTCACTGGGCTTAGTGGTCCACCCCTACTATTCCCAGGACTCTGGGAGGCTGAAGCAGGAGGATTGCAAGTTTAAGCCCAGCCAGGCAATTTAGCGAGACTGTCACAAAATAAAAAATGAAAAAAAGGGCTGGGGGTGAAGTTCAGTAGGAAGGCAAAAATGAACGAACGAACGAATGAATGAATGAATAAACAAATAAAAAAAAATCTGTATGTCCTAGCACCTTGCAGCCAACTGCCAAGCTGAGCGAGCTGAGCCCTCCACTCTGGGGGCGGCGGCGCTCACGCAAGGCGCGTGCGCGGTCGCGGCTGCAGCTGGCGCTGGCGGCGCTTGCGCAGTCCCGCGAGTAGCTTCTGCGCGATTTTGCGCTCGTGGCCGCCGGGCACCGTCCGGTTGGTGCGCAGCACCTGCTCCCGCCGGGTCCGACCCTTGCTGCGCCCGGCCCCCGAGGCCGGTAAGTCGCGCAGGTAGTAGTAGTCAGGGCAGTCGTACGCGTCCTCGTCCCAGCTTGCCCGCGGCAGTGTCTCGGGAGGTGGCGGCCGGGCCTGGAGATGACCGCGGGAACTGACAGGGCCCGGCCCGGACTCCATGGTCCCCCCGCACGCAGGCCGGCTGCGCGCGCACTGCGGCGGCTCGGCCCGCTCCGGGCTCCGATTGGCCTGTCGTCGGGGGCGGGACTCGTGACGTCACAGAGCCCTGGGGTTATCAGGGCGGGGCTTGGCCCGTGGGATCAGTGTTCTGTGACACCTGCTGCGGGCCAGGGAAGGGTGCTTGACAAACTCCGCCACAACAACATCATCATTATTATTATTATTGTTATTATTATTTTGTCTTTTTGAGACAGGGTCTCACTATGCGGTTCAGGCTGGCCTTGAGCTCACTTTGTAGCTCAGGCTGGTCTCGATCTTGCAAAGATCCTCTTGCCTCAGCCTTCTGAGTGCAGGGATTACAGGCGTGCACCACCACACCTGGGTCTCTATCTACTTTTCATGATTAACTTTTCTTTGGATTTTGATTATATCCATTAGTCATCATCCAATGGAAGACCCAGATTCGGGAAGACTCAGTAGACTTAATTTGGTGGAGGAAGACAACCATCTAGTATGAAAGACCCACCCATACGTGCAGGCTCTGATCCAGTGAAATCTGTCTGGGATAGTCAGACTGATACCTACATATTTAGTAGAGATTAAGCCCGGGGCTTTGCACGTAATAAGCAAGCGGTTGACCAGTGAGCTACATCCTCACTCCTTTTTATTTCTTTTTTTTCTTTCCTTTGAGACCAGGTCTTGCTAAATTGCCCAGATTAGGTTTGAACTTGCAGTCCTCCTGCCTCAGCCTCCCGAGTGCTGGGACTACAGGCCTGAGCCACCATGCCTGGCTCCTTCTCCTTCTTTGTAGATTGGAGATTGAACCCAGGGCCTTTGCACTAAGCTACATCCCCGGGTCCCTTTTTTTCTGAGACAAGGTCCGATTGAATCACCACATTGTTCAGGCTGGTCTCGAAGTTTCAGTCCTCCTGTCTCAGCCTCCGAGAGTGCTGGCATCATAGGTGTACCGCTACACCGAGCCGTAGACTCTTATTTGTAGGCAGCTCGGAATGAGCTCCAGCCGCTGCAGCCAGGAAATGTGAGTGGCCCCTTCTCCACGCAGTTCCATGAGGTCTACTAAATACAGTTGTCCTGGTTACTTTCCCATCACTGGGACAGTATATGACACCCGCAACTTCCAGGAGGAGAGGTGTATTTTGGTGCACAGGTTTTAGAGGGTTCAGTCCATGGCGTAGCGGGGGAGGTGGGTGTCCACTGCAGGAAGGGCATGGTGGAAGGGTCTGGCGGAGGATAGCTGCACACCTCATGCTGGTCCAGAAGCATTGAGAAGGGAGGAGCCAGGGACAAGAACACACCCAGGCCACGCCCCCAGCCAGACCCCACCTCCTCTGCACGGTCAGTTGCAGCACTCACCAATGGATGACTCCACCGAGGTGTACAGTGCCCCATGAACCTTCCATACACAGGAGACTTTGGGGGACACTTTGGATCTACACCATCGCAGCAGCAGAACGAAAGCCTGATTTGTGCACTGCTGTGTCCCTACTGCCCGAATAGTATGTGACTTTGTCCAGTGACTCTCTGTGGGAACGTCCTGCTGGACAAAGTGCGGTGGTGTAAAACAGGACCAGCTTATTCTGGTACAGCTCAGGAGGTCAGAGCCCCGAAGGAGTCTCGTTGGGCTACAGTCAGGTGTTGGAAGGGCTGCGGTCCTGCCTGGAGCTTTAGCAGGGAATCGGTTTCCCACACCTCTGCTGCTGTGAGGGCTGCCTGCATCCTGCACTTGTCCGCACCTCCATCTTTCAAACCAGCATAGCCACCAAGGCTTCTCAACTATCCTCTACCTTTTGTCTCCTACATCCTCATTTAAAGGACCTTTGTAATTACAGTGAGTCTAAGCAGATACTCCAGGATCATCTTGTTATGTTTGCTTTGAGACAGGGTCTTGCTATCTAGCCCAGACAGGCTGTAGTGGATTGACAACTGGTGCTCAACTTACAACCCCCAGCTGAACTGAGTAAGCATGGTGCTGGGTGTGGGAGGCCCCCCTGGGGATTAGTTGCCAGCAGCACAAGAGGCAGAACTGGAGAAGGAGAAGGAGGCTGTTGGGAGCTGGTAGAAGCTGTCAGGAGCTGTTGGTTGTTTTAGAGGAGCTCGTCATGCGGGCTTTTGTTGGTATTATCTGTAGTGACAGGTCCCGAGAACGAGGTGCCCAAGGATGAATAAGGAAAGGTAAACAATGAGAAGAACAGAAGAGGCAAAAGTCTGGGCTCAGGGGGCCCACAGCCTCTGGGACTGCAGCAGCCCCAATCACCCATCTCAATCGCCTTTTATTGGAACCCAAAGCGTAACTCAGACCAATAGGAGAAATTCATTATCCCTTTCCATTTCTGCCTCTCAGCTGATGGTAACCATCCTCGGGCGAGCCTCCCACACCCCACACCACGTGCAGTCAGCACGGCTGGGGATCATAAGCCGACCATCAGTAATCAGTCCCTTAGCAATCCAGTCCTTCCCGACATGTCCCCCTTTTTGTTTTAATGCAATCCTTTGAAGCATCAGCAAAAAGGTTACCAATTGTCTTCCATTTCTCAGTTTTTCCTGGATGAACTTCGCTAGACTAAGGGGATGAGGCAAAGTACAGTGATAATATTGCAAGAAATGACAAGGGATGTTTGCACGAATAAGAACATAATTCACGGTTCATAACAATGATCAGCCTTCAATCTATATCTTGAGATCACACTTTTCTGCTGGTTATCTAAGACCGAGTTAGAGTGAGACTTGTATAAATAAAAGTTGTAACCTTTTACTATCTATCAGGGTCAGTGAGGTTTCCTCAGGAATCTTCTCGGAACCAAATGCTATCTATTGATCTTCTGTCAGTGTCAGCCATCCGGATGAGTCACGGCCATTGCTTGACCAAGGTGCTTTCCGTGAAAGCCTGAGACATTTTTTCTCTCTTAGTGACTCTCCTTAGGCACACTGTCATAGAATCACTTTCCTCTGTGGTCCCATAATCTTCTTGATCAGAAAATGAGGGACTCGACCAAGTTATAGGATGTCATAGCAGAGGTTCTCTTATGTCCTGAGTCTACTGACCTCAGAGGGCATAGCCAAAATACTGGCTGTGTTTTTAGCCCAAACTACCCTTCTGATATTGAGTCTCCAGCTCTCAGTGGTTGAACATCCAGCAGAGAAGATTAATGATAACATCCTAACAAAGGCAACACCCTTAATATTACAATATAATCTAAATAGCAAACACCTTGGAACATACAAATGGAACTATAATTTTTTAACAACCGTACATATTCCAATATTCAAATTTTAATAGAATATTAACAACAATTACATATATCCACCTAGAAATTTATCAGAACCTTGTGACATTAATCTTACTACTGATCCAAAATAACAGAGGCAGTAAAGTTTAACACTACTACCTGAATATCAGACACCTTAGAACATAAAATGAAACTGTTGTTTTCTTAACAACCATTAACATCCTATCATTTAAATCCCTCTAGAATGTTAACAGATAATAATTATGTATTTGTACATTGAAATTGGAAACCAAATCCATACATAACATTGCCACATGACAATCATGATATTTTGTATCACACTTAAAATTTCATTTGGACATAACCTAACCCTCTCAAATCAGTCATCTCTATCTAATACATAAGCTTTTCTCCAATCTGTTATCATTTAACGAAAACCACATAAGTTTTGTGTTTTTTTTTTTTTTCCGGTACCGGGAATCGAACTCACGACCTCACGCTTGCCAGGCAGGTGCTGTGCCACTGAGCTAAATCCCCAGCCCCTGAAATACACATAAGTTTTTTAAAGACAAAGGTCTGAATTTGAACAAAAGTCTCATCATAAGCAATCCTTGCTTTACCTTTTGGAGAACTATACATTCAGAATCATGAATACATTTCAATACACTATGAAATTAATAATACTAAATTATCATACACTTGTGAAAACCTTTGCTTCTTTAATTCTGTACTAAGAACATCTCTTGTGAGAACACCTTAGTTTTTATTTTTTCTGGAACACTTTTGACCATCACCAAATTATTGGGGGTATCTCTCAAGAGACTCTGGAGATCTTTGGAGGCTCCGTATTAATGAAAAAAGGGTGGCCACCCCTTCATTCACTGATTGGAGTCCTACCCAGCCATGTTTCTGCTCAGGGATTATAGTTAAACATCTTCAGTTGAATATCTTTGTTTAGATCAGCTGGTAATTTAGAAGAAAGTATGCTTTTAGATTTGTACCCCAATTGTATCATGAAAAAATGTTCTTGAGCTCAAAAATAAAGGAGAACAGCTGTTCACAAAATGGCAAACATGTCACACGTACACAGAACATACATTTACATGAAATCAGAGTGCACTCAAACAGACCTTTTACCAAATCATATTGCAGTCATTCTATTACAATTTTGAAAATTTATAATTTGACTCTCATTATAAATGGTCCCCGTGTATCATGCAGACCAGGAAGCTATCTAAATTCAACAACATAAATTAGTACACGCATACACACCTGATTTTACAAAGTCAGTGCCTATCATAGCGGCTATGACAGCCAGCATGGCCGAAAATATATTACCAGCTATAAATATTTTCC